ATGCTGTTCTAGCTTTTGCTTAGATTTGTACAAGTGTAGGAACATTTGTAGGTTTGTGAACTCTGTCTCTGCTCTATCAGTTTTCTGGCAGGTAATTTATACATATATCACTAGATGCTGGTCACAGTGGTCACTGGTTGTAGCCTCAGACTTGGCACATTCCACTTTATTGTGTTAACCTTTTTCCTAAACATTTATTTTTTTTCACAGAATTTGTATTTTTTGTTTATCTAACATTCACCCCAGGTGTTTGGGCTCTTTCAAAAGTGATTCAATAGTTCCGTTATCACATTCCTCTACTGATTTGTCTTTGTTTTCTTTCTCACCTATCTAAACAAAAATATGATCTAGGTACAGCTTAGCACCTCTTTACCATTAAGGTGTTGTTGTATTTCATTATGAAAATCATCAGGAAATAAAGCACCCTCGAACTGAAGGGCCTGTTTGCCCGAGGCAGTGCTGAATGTACACACATCTCTGCTCTTATTTTGCCAAAGCAACTGTAAGAATTTTCATGATGCATCAAGTATAGAAAAAATATTTCTATCACCTATATCTCAACTAATTTCCTCTGTTGTAAGCAATGTTCTTTCTGCATGCCTGTATTTCTCTGTGGGGTCTCTGTGGCTGACAGCAGGTGTTGCACACCCACTCTCTTAGCTCTGCTGTGTGTGCGCTTATGTACTCACCATCTCCACCTTCTTTATTCTTCTTTCTGGAATGAGAATAACTGGTTTAAGAGTCAAGGGATTGCTAAGCTCTTTTAGCTTTGCTCTGTGCTCTGCTGAGAACTGCCTCATTCCACTCCATCCATTCTCAAATTATTCCCCCTTTTTTTTGGGTTTTGTTTGCTTGTTTGTTTGTTTGTGGGTTTTTTTGTTTATTTGTTTTGGTTTGGGGTTGGGTTTTTCTTTGGTTGGTTGGGTTTTTTGTTTTGTTGTTCTCTGTTTCTCCACCAATGGGACTATATAGTTCACTTGTTACTTTTACTACAATCATTTTTGCACACAACTTCTTGATTTTTGCATTTATGTCCAGATTAAGCATTAATAGATTTACATTTGCCAAACAGTATGCTCATTAATTTTCTTGTGTAGAATTGTCCATTGATCTTACAAATAATGCCTCTGTAGCAACAGCACTGTGATTATCATCCTTGTCTAGTCTCTGCGCTATTCTTTCATTTGCAAATTCTTGCAAGATAAATCCACTGCAACTCTCATTTTGTTCTTTTGAGTACCTATTGTTTCTTTTCAGAACTGTATTTGTTATATGACAGGAAGTTCTACGTATTTTATTGATGAAATTTAACTCTGACATCTATGCAATT